CTTTACGCTCCCCCAGAATGAGATGATTTGCTCTTTTTGCACATCCTTCTCCATGAGGGAATGAGAAGGACAAAGAGATTGTGATGCAACGCAACCCTGAGCTTCAAAAACCAGAGAGGCAGGAGGCCACAAAGAGCGTTAAAATCTCCCGAAAGCTCATGGCCATTTCAGACACTTGCTTCACCCATCGCTGGCTTTAAGAAAAAAAAAAAATCTCCAGAGGCCCATAAAACACCTGGAAGAAGACAAGGGACTTCTGTTTTCCAGGAGAGGCAAAAAAACCCAGCCTAAAACTCACAAAAAAACCCCCAAGATACATCAAACAAAGAGCACGGCCATGCAGAAGAACCAAATCCAACCCGGTGAGATCTCCTGTGCTCCGGGGCAGTGACGTCCTCGCTCACGACCCCTTGGCCTCACAGGAGCACCATCCTGTTCTGCCGAAGGAGCTGCTGACAAAGAATAATAAATATTTTCATATCCAAATTTACATTGATCTACTTTCCATCGCTTGCTGCCAGGGCTGGAGACCGATGGCAGATTATCCGGCCACGCGTTATGATCTGACAGCGACGACGTGTTTCGTTGTGTTCTAAGTCCTTCAGGCAGAGTTTTGGAGCGGAGCTGAGTCAATATGGGAAGATTTGAGCGGGTCTGTCCACAGGTGTGCAATAAAAAGACATTTATTATGATCATTCGATTGGATGTGCCAAAGATGACTCCAATTCAAACCTGTAAAAGCCCCCGAAACAGCTTTCCCTCAACCCATCTGCATTTTCAATATGCTCCAAACATCTTCTTTCGATAGAAGACAAGCCGTGACTGTAAACCTTTTTTGATGCCAACAAAGCAGCTTAATAGAAATGACACCTGGTGTGGTTAGGTAAAGTGGTTCGCCTTCCCTGCATCCAAAATACACCTTTATACAAAAAAAAAAAAAAAAAAAAAAAAAAAAAAAAATTCTTAAAATAGAATTAAGAAATTCCCTGTTTCCACTGGTGTCTCGGCTCCAAAGCCAGCAGAATTTCACAGGAGCAACTCTCATGCCATGGGTAAAGTGCAGGTCTCCTGTGCAGTGGCGCAAGTCTCCTCAGATCCACATTTGACACACAGAAAAAAATCATATTTACAGCTGGCTCATATTAGTGCCTCCTGACATACCCCGGTCAAGGGGAAAAAAAAAGATCTAGAATTGGATTCCTCAAAAATCTGTGAGATGGGGAAGGAGAAGAGAGCTTTTCAGACACTGAAATCTTTCTAGAGCATCCTTCGTGGCATCAGTTTTTCAAGCCAAAAACGCCCCTGAACATGGTGATGGTCTGGTCTGCGAAGCACAAGCCCCTGTACTCAC